CCGAATAAGGCTGTAGCAGTGCGAGCGATTAATCTGTTTAACGACAATGCAATGTCACCTTGGATAGATTCCTTGTTAAGGTTTCACGAAATGAAAAAGATTCCATTGAGCCAAGAGATAGCAGTGATTCCGTTAGTGATGGTGAAAGTCGTCCTGCACAATAATCCTCCCCTCTCTCGTCCCCCTCACACCAGCCACGAAGGTACCGGTAATTGGCTTATTTTTCTTTATATTTTGTACAGTATTATATTACAGTACAGTATTGTAATCATTTTTATATGAATATTTTTGGGTTGTGGAACGAATCATCTGAATTTCCATTATTTCCTATGGGGAAATTCGCTTTGATATACAAGCGCTTTGGATTACAAGCATGCTTCCGGAACGAATTATGCTCGTAAACCAAGGTATTACTGTATGTGTAATGTGTTATATGATTCAAAATGGGTGCAGTTAGCATACCAAATGGCAATAAAAGAATCACACTTCCATATTTCAAAATGCAGGCCTGCCCACAAAGCAAACCAAAAGATTAATTGTGGGTGGTGAGCGATTTGGCACGATACAACCAATCAGGCCTGCCAGGTGTCAGCCGCGCTCTTAGTTTATGGTGGGCAATAGCCCGCGATATACTGAGCTTTAGGTCACGTGAGGAGATTAGTATATGTACTCCCATGACTCTAAAGAGAACTATGGGGAAAAACACTTACCCCATAGTTCTCTTTTAAAGATCTCCCTTGATATAATTTATGCAAATGATAACTAATTTGTCTAGCCCTGTTTCTAAATGGTGTCCAGCCCAGAGCTTTTAAATGCTACTATTCAGACAAAAGATATTTTAAACAAAACAGTCCAGAAACACAGCAAAGGAGGGAAAACAGCATATTTGGTGTTCATGTATTCATAATCAAATTGTGAAGTGTTGCGTGTGCTATCTGCCCAGTGGCGTAACAACTGGGGGTGCGGGGGGGTCACTTGCCCCGGGCGCAGGACTGAGGGGGGGCGCCGTCACGACCCCCGCTTAACGAAGCCATGGCTCCCTCTCCCTGACACGATCACCTGGCTGTCATCGGGCGGCCGCTCGCTCTTC